AGGGATTTAAGAAGATGAAAGAGGTGGAATTATAGAACACTACCTGATGCTGCTGCAAATACTGAGAGCGGGTGTACACAGAAAGTCTGAGGTCTTGATGAGTGTCTAGAACTGCACCACTCAACACCACGGCCACCAGCCACATATGGATATTTAAGTTTAAATTAAGTAAAAAATTTAAAAATTCAGTTCTGCAGTGACAGGAACCACATTTTGAATGTTCATAGCCACGTGAGGCTAGTGGCTGCCTTGTTGGACGGTGCTGGTATAGAACATTTCCACCATTTCAGACAAGTTCTCTTGGACGCTGCTTGTCTAGAAAAGTTAAGCCAAGTGAGAAAATACGAGATAGAGAAAAATATCAACTCCCAGAAAAACAAACCCTTGTGCAGGAAAAGAAAAATAATTATAATGTATAGGGTTCAGCTGTGAATAGCACTTTGCTAATCACGAACATGTAAACATTCCACTCTGAATTACATATGCACAATTTTATCAGGAGGGTACTGGGTGGGAGGTGAGGCTTGTGTCTGGTGAGGGTGGGGGTTTTTATGAAAGAGCATTTAAGCCTCATTTTCCTGGGTGGGAACTTAATAGATGATGACTACGTGACTGAAAAATCAGGAAAGAGCAACCTGATGGCATTTTGTTAAATGTATAGAGGTACGTAACAAAAGATTCAGCTGAAAGAGTCAAAGTGATGTCTCTGGGGAAGGGAAAAAGGAACAGTGGAAACGGGTACGGATTTAATACGAAGCCCTGTAAAACTACTTGCTTCTTAAGCTATGTGCATATATAATTTGATCAAAATAATTACTGAAATTAAAGAAATTACACCAATAACTCTGTTAGAATGCTATCTCTTCTGGTCCCCAGGCCCAATACTTCTATATTTTTGATATTTAGGAAAGCATCATCTGAAGTTCTGCTATTGGCACCTAACTCTATCCTGCTTTGTTCTGTAGTCAGTTATAAGGACTTCTTAGTCAAATTCTTATTTATTCATAAATTCCTAGACAAACTACTGTCTGATTTCAGAATCTTTATGATATTTTGGTATTTCAGTTTAATACAGAGTAAAGAGTGAAGACTGCAATATAATGTAAAAAATGGTAATAATAATAAAAAATAATAATAGCTAACATTTGTTAAGCACTTACTATGTGCAAGAAATATGATAAGAACCTACCAATAATCCAGACCATAGGTAGACCAGGGAAATAGAGCTGCCTAATTACAGATTAGCATCTGCAGAGTTTAGTAAGGAGGTGACAGTGTTTTCTTTAGAGTGATTAAGAGGGAAATGTAAGCTGCTTATATGTGCACTTGCCCTTGTGTAACCGTGATTGGAACACGACCAGCTCTCTGGTGACCCTCTCACTTCTGGTGCGCTTTGCAAATTATTAGGGCAAACTTCAGCAGGCCTATTTAGCTGGGCTTTGGGGCTTTCTCTTAGGATGGATTGATCTCAGGGGTCTAATCCAGGCTGTTTTCATCTGGACTCATCCCTGGCCCCTAGCTTTTTAGACCTTGTTCCTGGGATACACACTTTACTGTAAGTGGATTTGGGGATTCCGCTCATCTGGAGTCCCTCTTTCTACTGCCAGTGTTCTCAAAAGTAACGTATGAAGAGTGTCTTAGTCCATTGGGTCTGTTATAAGAGAAATACCATAAACTGGGTGGCTTATAAAAAACAAAAATTTGGGGGGCCGGCCCGGTGGCGCACTGGATAGGGCGCCGCTTGGGAAGCGCGGGGGACCTCCCACCCCAGGGCTTTGACCCTTCC